GACGATGATCCTTTTTTTACAACCGGAGAAACTCGGTCTCAGCATCTCCGCTCGCAGATGTTTGCTCTGCATCTCCTCCGCTTTGAGAAACGACGAGGGGAGAAAGGTGGAAGTGAGACTGAATTCAGAGGAGCGAGGAAGGATGGAGGGCAGAGAGTGAGGGGCCCACGGAAAGGGGACACGGAGGACAAGGGGAGGGGGTTTACATCAAAGTTGTGTCTGGTAGCTAGAGATTAGGAACCGCATTGCAAGAGGGGATTGTTCGTTCCCTAAAGGGTCCGAACATGAGTGTGTGGGTGTGTGGATGTAGGTCTGTGTGTGTGTGTGTGTGTGTGTGATAAGGAGGGGGTTTCAGCTCCTCTGGGGTCTCTCTGGGGGCTGCATTCCTTGTCTGTCATGTACTTTATGGCCCCTTCCAGCTCAGATCGAGTCCTACACTTTATACATTGTCTCCTTTGTTACCTATTGTGCACGATGAGCTCTGAATGCACACCTATAGACGTTTACAGTAAAGCATCAACAGGGCGGTATGGACCCAGAACCTGCAGCAGAGATGATATAGTGTGACAAGACTGAGCTATAAGGGAAATAAAGGGAGTGACAGTAAACGCATCATTTACAGAGAATGATCGCTGACATCCGTCCTCTCTGCACCTCAGATTTCACCTTACTTTAAAGGGATATTCCAGCGTAAAATTTAGGGTCAAAAACACAGAGTTAGACCCCCCCTCCAGAGATGAATGTTGTCGACCGCTTGCTTCTCTAGTTATACCAACTTTAGTAACGACCGCAGGATAGAAATACAGAGAGCCACGCCCCCAACCAAAACGCCACTCTATATCCACAAATAATGCTCAGAACAGCACCTAACTTCATCAACAGGACATATAGGGTCACAGACATAGTACTAGACACCAAACATCTTTTTAACTTTGACTCATTTCTTTAGCAAAGACACTAAACACAACTCACCTACTCTCTTCCAGCAGACGCTTGTCCATTACGGATGAGGAAGAACATTTATGATCATTGCAATCAATGCAATCAGACTGAGACGCTAAGGCAGAAGAACTACCGTGTCTGCAGTGCAAAATGATAAGTATGGTGATTATTACTTCAATGAAATGATAAAGAAATGATCATAAATGTTCTTCCTTGAGCTGCGGCACCCCGCTGTCATCCGTAATGGACAAGCGTCTGCTGGAAGAGAGTAGGTGAGTTGTGTTTAGTCTCTCTATAGAGTGGCGTTTTGGTTGGGGGCGTGTCTCTCTGTATTTCTATCCTGCGGTCGTTACTAAAGTTGGTATAACTAGAGAAACAAGCGGTCGACAACATTCATCTTTGGAGGGGGGGTCTAACTCGGTGTTACGGTGGGTTTGACCCTAAATTAACCCTTTAAATGCTGACACTTGAATACGCATAAAACATAATGTTCCTGTTACCATAATAGATCAAACAAACACATTCACCTCCATACAGCTGTTACAAATACAGAAACAAGATGATGGAATACTGTTAGTGTGTTCGTTCCTGTTACTTAAACTCGTTATGAAAGAGGAGAGTCGGGCTCTTTAGGGGGTTCTGGAAACACCCTGTAAGTATGAGAGCTGAGAACGAGGTCAGAAGGACCACTATAGGCAAAATGACGATATTGATATATCTACATGCAGGAGTTTTAACTGGTGGTGGTACGACTCCCCTGACCTGTCAATGCAAAGACCCCAACTCTGGTGCGACCAGGTATGGCGTCAAAAGGAGGAGGTGGAGGTTAGATGTGTAGGAGCTGGCATGAGGATACTAAACATTAATTTAGTCCGTTACATAACAGACAAAAATTCCTCACAGAAAATGATGAAATCAACAGCAGCTCTAAAGGTCCGACTCGGATCCAGCTGCTGATTTGATAAATTAATAACTCATCAGTAACTTGTATTAAGACTTTATATAGGGGCTGAATTCCTCAGGGTTGGATGTTAACAGCCAGTCTGAGTAAATCACAACCTGCAAACACAATCCGACACATAAAGAGTTCACATTTACTCCTGAGGGGCTGAAGTTTGAGATCAGATCTGCACAAACTGTAAAAGGCTGTAATTGACAGCGTTTATATCCTGTATGTGATGGTAGATTCATCTTTGTTCCACTTAAACACGCAGTAAAAACCTGAACTCTGGTTATAACGCTGCTTCGCACGATCATAGGGAACTATCCGGGGAGCGGGCTTATCTTGACGTCTTAAATACAGATGAATCCTGCAGAAATCACTCACTCAATGAATCACTCAAGGTTGGTTTTCTTTGCAGCTCATCACAACCGAACCAACAACATGAAGAGAGGGTTGCATCATACAGCATCTCTCTTGCTTGAAGACAAAAGAAGCATTGAGCCGAATAATGGAAAAAATAATGAAGATTATTTTTTTCGACACTTTAAAAACGCATTAAAAACTTCAACAGCTGCTTCAATCTAGAAACTGTTATTTTCACCTTCAACCCTTTTGATCTTCCTGAGTCCTGAGGCCAAACGCATCACGTCAGCGATAATGATCCACATAAATATATTACCATTACCACCATTAACTAGTCTGCATGTGGAGCTCTGACCCCGGAGTGTCTGCACGATCGTAGACGTGTTGGCGAAAGAGTCTGGCACATGATAAATAACTGTCATCGCCCTCTTCTTATCATCTCATTAAAGCCCCAGTGTGGCTCATTCATCAAATAACACAGCGCTCCGGGACAAAAACATTCACTCCAACTATTATCAGACTGTGACAGGTGTGATCCCCTCAGGATTAATCTGAAGACGCAGAATAAAAAAGCAACATTAACTGAGTCATAACTCCACAAAAGTTCTCGATCCTCATGAAGAGAAAGGTTCAGAGACGCATCTGGAAACTTGTTGTTTGCATGTTTACATGAGGGCTGTCAGTCTTTGAACGTTCTCGAAGTTCACTGAATGAATATTTCACTGTTAAAAAAACAACCAGGTGGAGGACAAGTCAGAAGTCTGTCACGTGCCGAAGCATGCATGTGCAAAAATCAGCTGATGGAGTCTGAAATAATGTCAGCCGTGTCAAAACAGACCAGAATCCTCCTCCTGGTTCTTTAGGAGCCAAAAGAGTCGGGTCTTTGCAGACAGTCTGGGTCAGATTTAAGTTACCATCCCATAATGCAACACAGTTCTTGTTATTTCTACAGTATAAGATTGTGAAACAGGCGGTTAACTGTTGTGAATCATCCATGCTTCATTATTTTTTTTTGTAGGACGGTGGGGGAAAGCCCCGCCCCTATAAAACTACATCTACAAAAGTTATTTTAGTGCTCACCCTATTTTCAAGATGTAGCCATCTTGTGATTTTGCCTTTTTTCCAACTTCATTTCCTTCTCTATTATTTGTTCTGTTTTAAACTGAAACTATAAAAACAAACAATATTTCTTTATTTTTTGTTATATAGAAAAACAAACAAAATATTGACTTGTTTCTTCATGTTTTGTTTACTAGATTGAACAGAATAATTAAATGGATGGATAATACACGGACTAATTGACTGTGCGAGCACTGGTTTCACAGTATTAAGGGATAATGCAGAGATTTAATGTGAAATATAAAAGTTAAATAAAGAACAATTCTGATGGAAACACTTTCAGTTTTTAGTAAATGTCGTTGAGATTCTTACTGTCTTACTTTGGGGATCTTGAACTTGAGTTGTGCAGTTGTGTGAATCCACCACAGCCACAAAAACGAGAGAAAAGTAAGGGTTAAACTTGGTGGAGTCTTCCTGGAGAATGTGGGAGGTCTGTCTGCCCCTGCTGGCGGGAAAATGAACCAGCTGAATTATGTCAATGTCTCCTGAATCACTGCCTCTGCACGCTTTCTCCTCATGCCCTCCACTCCTCAGCCTGCTCCAGCTCCCTGACTCAAATCTGAGAATAATCTCCTCTGTGCTTTTTGGTGTCTGCTCCCCGAAAACTTTGGTGCCCCACTAATGAACCACCAGGTGAAACAATTGCGCAATAATCCAAGATGGAGGTCCGGAGGGGAAACCTGCACCGGCATCTAACATGCTCCAAACCCGGAGCGCGTCAAAGAGAAGGCAAAGGAACAGGAAACGAACACAGAAGAGTCCAAAAATGTGCAGAAACCAGATCCAACATCCTTCTTAGTTAGCGTGTTTTAACAAACCAGCAGCTGACTCACTTTTCTGCACAACAGACGCGTAAAAATCTAATATACAGTAAAGTACTGCGCGATTACGCACGGCGACATCGTCCAAAAGTCACGAAAACATCAGGAAAAGACTCTAAAAGTGTTGAAGTCAGTGTTCAGTTTGATTTTAACAAACAGTAGTGAGTGAAAACACTGAAGACTGATTTAAAGACACCCAAACACGAAGAAGAGGAACAATGTAGACCTAAAATCCTGTTTCACAACGTCCCCAACAGGCTTTAAAATCACTTAATACTTCATCAACATTTATGACTGTTTAAAGACACCTCCATGCAGCTCTGCAGGTCTCTCATGCACATGGACAACAGGTCTATGGAGGTGCAAACTTCACACACACGCACAAAGAGTAAAAAAAGAAGCAAACACGGTGGAGAGAGAGAATCAGACTCACCACAAACTCTCACCTGGACTGTAAAAACACTGAGTCTGAGTGTTTGACTCGATAAAAAGCTGTTATTATAATTCCTACATAAACCCTCGGAGCCCCCCCACTCCTCCCCGGGTAACACTTACATAACCATCCACGCTTCCTGCACTCATCCACGGGAGGAAATTGTAGAAGAAGCCGTGCCGTCGTCTGGAGAGTCGAAGTGAGAGAGTCAAAGTTGTTAAAAGTGGAGAATTCAGCGGTGAACTTGAGAGCGCAGATCAGGAGTGGGTCTGGTCCTCTCGCAGGAGTTCTTCACTCTGCCGGAGCATGCTGCTGCAGATCTCTGCCCTGCAACTCTCTCTCTCTCTCCCTGTGTGTGAATCAGTGTCTCTCACTCTTTCTCTCTCTCTCTCTGGCTCGTGCGCTCGGCGTGTGTGTCCCACAGTTCAGTGGGTTAACTCGAGTGTGGGTCGGCCTTTCTATACCCGACCTGTAGGGGAGGGAGTGAGCACAGATTGGTCGTTCAGGTGAGAATGTCAACTCCCATTTTCTGTGGCCGGAGGACACACAACGCTCTCTCTCTCTCCCTCAAACTTTATGTCTTTTCAAGATCCTTTTTTTGGTCCCCGAGGAGCCGAAACAGAAACCTCATGTTGACATCACTGAGAACCAAACCCTAATTTAGTGAACAAAGTGAACTAACAGTCCTATTTCAACTTTTAGCATGTTTTATTTTGATTATTCAACTGAAACTAGTATCGAAACATTATTGAGGGGTATGTTGTTTTGTTAAAGGTTAAAACAAGTGTTTCTTATGGTGGCCGAGAACACCAACTGCAAAAAAAAAAAAAAGGAAAAAAAAGAAAGAAAAGAAATAGTGCTGATTAAAAAATAGTAGCAATGGAAAAAAAAAGTTACTTACTGCAAAAATAAAGAATGCAATAAAAAAAGAAGTCACAGTGGAAGTTAGTGATAAAAAAAAGTGGCGATGGAAAAAAAAATTAAAAAAAATAAAAAAGAAATGGCGCAGATAAAAAAAAGCAGTTAATGAAGCAATAAAACAGTGGCGATGAAAATTAAAATTATTTTCTACAAAAATAAAAGCGTGCAAAAATAATAAAGTATAAAAAGAGGAAACCAAAACCTGCTGCAAATAAACAAGAAACAGTGTGGATAAAAAAATTTTTAAAAAGCCAAATTGGAAGTTAACAACACACAAAACAGTGGTGATGGAAAAAAAATACTGTGAAAATAAAAGAATGCAAAAAAAGAAGTCACAATGGAAGTTACTGATGCAAAAAAAAGAAAGAAACTGAAGCCCGCTGCAAATAAAAAAAGAAACAGTGCAGATAAAAAAAAGCCACAATGAAAGTTAACAACACACAAAATAAAATAAAATAAATAAAAAATAAAAGTTACTTACAGACGTGAACTGCCGGGGACCAATAATGATGATGCACCGGTGTTTTACAATCTGGGCAAAGAAGACGACGGCGAGAACACGAACAAAGAAGTAAGTGAAATGATAATTGTTTAATTTCACTTTGTAAACATTTTCTTTTTTATTTGCAGCAGTGGCGGTTCTCGGCCACCGTAGTTCGTGTTTCTGTTAAAGTACCACAACAAGACACCACTGAAGTCCAAAAGTGTAAGAGAACAGTTGAGGTTTTAGATGAGGGTAGCCTACCTAAAGAGTTAAGAGTGATAAACACAAAGAAACATAGTAAATCCTGCGTTATTGTTGCTAAAAGTGGGTGAAGATAGATATTTCTTACGTCTTATCCAGCCTGTTGTTTCTCTATTTCCCTTGTAATGTTTTAAAAATGTGTGAAAATGGACCTTAGATCAAGATATCAACAGCCTTCCTGCTATAATTAGTAGTTTAATCACCTTTTTTGCTGTCTTAGCAGCTTTTTTATCTTACAATTGTCCACATTTGTCCCTCGGTGCGTTGAAGCTTTCGACGCATGCGCATTGTAGAACCAGGAAGTGCTCTCCAAACCGGAGCAGAGCTAACTCTGAGTGGATTCCGGGAATTTCATCCAAATAAAGACGATGCAGCTTCACTTTACTAAAGATGTTTTACCCGACTCTGTCAGCACCGACTTCCAGAACCTGAACAAGTTTAATGAGCAGGTAAAAACGGCAGGTTTGTTGGTGTTTATTCCGCCGAAGGTTCAGGGAGAGAGGTCCGGGAGAACCTCAGGAAGTTTACAGATGGAGTTTTACTCTCCGGGTTTCTAATATAACTACTGTTATACTGACCTGGATTCACAGGCTGTGGTCTTGTGAGTTTAAGGGATTTATCAGCTCGTTATTCGGAGTAAAGACACAGGTGTTGAGGGCAGGTGAGGGTCATGTGACAGCAGCAGGTAGGAATGAGAGAGACCGAAGAGAAAGTCCAACAAAGACTTTCAGAGATGCAGAAGTGTCTGAATTAACCCTCAAGTCACGTTGGGGCTTTTTTATAAGGTCAACATGTGCTGTGTAGGGGAGACCGGGGTAAGTAGATCCACCCCCTGTCACTTGGAAATGGTCAAAGAAATTGATCATGTGACCAAATACTTCATCAATTCATGGAGTCAGTGAAGGTTAGAAGCTCATGAGTGAATAAGGGGTTAGACATTTATTTACAAAACCAAAAAAAACATTTTTCACTCTGTAAAGTGAATTTAGTCCGTCATCAGTTTGATAAGAATTATGTTCAGACCAAAAAAGATCATTTTTAATAGAGAGATAAAAATCATAATGGAAAAGATTGTTTCCAAATCAGTTTCATTGGACCCTAAGCTTTTCTTTTTTGGCCTTTATCCAGAGAAACATAACTACAGTAAGTATGAAAAAGCATTTATAGATCTAAGTTTATTCAATGCCAAAAAATGTCTGCATTACTCTGGAAAAAGAACCATCAACCAAGTACCAGTCAGTGGGTAAAACAAATGTTGTCAAGCTGGAAAGAATTATTTATTTATTTATTTTTGAATATTTTCTCTGTTCTGTTACTCTCTGAATACCTGTAGCCTCTCATTATCATTACCATTATGTCACAGTTCCTTACATTTGGTTCATAATCTGTCCTATAACAAGAGAAGCGTATTGTTCGTTTTGTGTTTTTATCGTGAGTCTTTTGTTTTGCGATGTGTTTTTGCTAAACTTGGCAGCTAATCTGTGAGAAATGACATGTAGACAGGGCTAGGCCAGGCGTGTCACGATGGTTTGTACTGTGATCGTCTTACGCTGCTACAAAACTCAAATAAAGATATCGTGGTAAAAAAAAAGAATGATTGTACCAGTCGAATAAAAATATCTGCAGATACAGGAGTTAGAGACAAAACTAGGATTGACTTGATGTTGTGATCCCAAACATGAGAAATGGATAATCTGACCCCACTCTCCCCTAATGATATAAAAAGAGCTCCTCAGTCAAAAGAAGCTGAGCTCCTGTGTGTCGAATCTTATCTTATCCCAGTTTGTCTAATTTTGTCTTGTTTTGTAGTTTAATCTCATCTTGCTGTTTTATCTCGTCCTGTCTCATCTGTTTCATCTTTTTGGTTTGTTTTATTTCATATCAATACAGTAAATGATTATATATTTTTATATTAAACCTGATAAATACAGAAAAGAACACTTAAAACACAGATATCCATCTCTCAGATCTGCGTGTGTTTTTAGCAGCAAAGGTCGATGATATTTTTCTGTCTTTTTTTCAGCAATTTCTTCGTCTGGTTGAAATCCTGTTCCAGTTCTTGCTGGAGCCTAAAGAGGTAAATGAGTTCAGACCCCCCCCTTACACACACACACACACACACACACGCACACACACACACACACACACACTGAATTTTGATGTTAACAGACTTTGGACTCAGTGATTAGCCTTGATAACTGAACCGAAGTAAAATATCGCCTGTCCCTTTGTGTATCTGTGCAAATTAATGCATACCTCTGTTTGTTTGTGTGTGTGTGCGTGTTCCTGTGTGTGTGTGTGTGTGTTCCTGTGTGTGTGTGTGTGTGTGTGTGTGTGTCCCTGTGTGTGCACAGACAGAGAGGTTCATGGAGCAGCTGAGTGAGTTTGCAGGGGAACATGGCATGAGTGCTGGTCCTCTGAGGAACCTGATGAAGAGCGTCCTCCTGGTGCCACAGGGTGAGACACAAACGCACACACACACACATGCGCACACACACATACACACTCTCTCACACAGGCACATCTATTCCCCCCCGAACAAAGACAAACATCATAAACTGGGGTATTTGCAGGTGTAGGTTTGAGATAATGTGGCGGGACTTTCTTTGTGTCTCTCTGCAGGGATTATTTACTTCAGTTAGGGATTTCCTACATTACCCAGAACACTTTGTGTAAACCCTCAAAAATTCACCTGAATTCTGTGGTTCAATTTCATGGAGAAAGAGATAAGACTCAGATAAGTGCAGTAAATCCTCACTCTGAGCATTTACTGTCTGCATGTTTGTCCTGATATCTGTGTTCAAACAAACTCAGCCTGTAAACTCTCCTGAAGAAGACGCTCCATCACTCTTTAGTTAAATTAACAACAGAACAGAAGCAGATGAATCCGAGGAGGATTTTCCCACGAAGTTCGTCTTCGTACTCACGCCGTACCTCCAGGAAAGCTTCCGTCTCAGTGACAGTGATTGTTTGGTGTTTCCTCCTCAGGAGCCCTGAAGAAAAACCTGACAGCCGAGCAGATCAAAGAAGACCTCGTCGCTTTAGGTACACATCCCAATCCTTCACCACCGAGTCAATCATTATCAAAAAGGTCAACTTTTGCAGATACTGGGGTTAAGTATAGCTGCTGGTGTCCTCTAAGTACAGCATGTCATGGAGGAGGCTTCAAAATCTCAAAGTGTAAAATTATAACTCATGTCTGTTATTTTCTCAGGAGTAAATGAGGACAAGGCGGCTCACTTCTCACAGCAGGTAACTTCTCAGATTTGATATTTGTGATATTTATGTGAGCCGAGTCCCCCAGGTTTAGTTTAGTTTAGTTTTATTTTGGATCCACTGTTAGTTACAACAAAATCTGCAGCTACTCCTCTTCCTGGGGTCCTTATCTTCTTTTCCATTTTCATTTTGAACTTGGACATGTACTTACAGACATTAATAATAATAATAATTACTTTATTTATATAGCACTTTTAAAAACAAGTTTCCAAAGTGCTTTGACAACAGTTGCAAGCACAGAACATCAGCACATGGAAATAAAAACAAATAAAAAACGAAAGCTCAGTTACAAACAAGGCCTCTGAGTTGAAGGCCAGTTTTATTTTTCGTAAGAAACCCAGACAATACAAGAACCTTACAACATAAAAAAATGAGACCAGAATAAAAACATAAAATAGGTAAGAAGAAGAATGAAATAGAAAAGGGGGGCAGAACGCAGGAAAAAGGATAGTAAGTATAAAAGAAAAAGGAAAAAGGAGAAAAACACTTACATAAGATTCATACTACACTTTCACACAGTAGCTCTCATTCTCTCTTGCTTGAGGATGAAGAAACAAAAGGGAAAAGACAAAAAAGAAAAACAGAAAACTTATTTGAGGAAAAACAAGAAAACTTAACAGAACTCAGTTTCATTCATGTTCCTCCATATGTAAACAAATACACCTCTAAATGTTTGTTAAAGCAACTTCTGTTCATTTCTGAAATTAAAAGTTTAGGTTATAAATTCCATCATTTCTCTGTAGAGGACAGTCCTTTTTATCGCCTCTGATGGCCGCCTCGTACCATACTGGTGTTAGTTTATTAAAGAGTACATCTTGGACTCTGTTTATAATACTTTTTTAGGAATTTACATTTTACATTTAACCCGATTAACTGATTATGCATTATGCTACAGTTTAGTGCTGTTCGAGCTGCTTTATTTTGTGTTATTTGTAGGCCTTATAATTTACCATCCGATGTTTGTTATCTTTGGTCAGATTCATGAAAGCCTTGTTATCAAACCTGAGAGGATTTCATGATCGTCTGTAAGTGTGTGTTTCAGTGGGGGGAGCACTACGCAGCGCTGAGCAGACTCGCTGTGGGACAGACTCTGATGGTGAACCAGCTGGTGGACATGGAGTGGAAATTCGGAGGTAGGACACAAGAGAAGCAGATAACACGTTCATAGTAAGTGAACCTAACCTCGGTGAACACAGAGCCTAACAGAGTCATTAGCATGGCTTTTGTCCTCTAAAAGCCTCATTAGAGTCCCTCATAGGTGGACGGCTGATGGGTCTCTAACAGGCCTCGTTGTTTATTCATACGGCCTCATGGCTTCTTTGGAGTCACAGGGATTAGAGATGCAAATCTAGCAGCCAGGAGAGTCATCCATATTAAACTAAAGAGGATTGGAGAAGGAGTGGCTGGATGTGCTGCAGTTTACCTGATTTGACTGATATTGACATGCTAAATACCTGAAGAGGACAGTGTCTCTGCATGTTACTGAGGAGTCGGCTGGATCCGGTCGGGTGACTGTTAGATTTGGTTACTTTCTACAAAAACAACATTACAATTCAATTCTATCAAACAGCTTATGCACTCATTAAACCCTCTCTGTCTGATCGATCGGTCAGTCTTTCAAAGTAAAGTCACGTCAGTGTTGATGGTTTTTGATACATGAGACTGTTTTTTCCCCTAACCTTCACAGTAACTGTCGGCACCAGTGAAATACAGAAAGTGGGAAACATCTTCCTGCAGGTATGAAAGTTCAGCACACATCACATTTACCTGAGTGACTCTACGAGGGTCTGTGTTTCAGTCCATTAAAAACATCTGTCTGGGTTTGCAGTTGAAACTGGTGATCAGAAAAGGGAACTCCACTGAAAATGTCTACATGGGTAAGTGAATTTAAAATACTTAACCTGACTCCAAGTAAGATCAGAGTTTGATTTTTAAAGTGGAAACTTACATGTGATATCAGTAACATCATACAGTATATTAGGTTTCATATCTAGTCATATCATCTTGTTTCCTGTTGTATCTCATTATAATGTTTAATATTAATTATCATATCATACTGTGTCCCATTGTTTTGCATCATATCACATAATACGCAACATGTCTCATATTTTTGTATTGTGTCACAATGGATCGTATATCATTATGTTTCCTGGCATTTCCTATCATATCCTTTCTTACTGTATCACGTCGCACTGTATCGTATCGTATTGTACTGTATCGTATCATATCACATTGTATCGTATCATATTATATCATTTCCTATCGTATCGTTTCCTATTTTACTGTATCATATATCATATCGTATCGTACTGTATCGCAACGTATCGTACGGTATCGTATCATACTGTATCATATGGTATGGTATCACATGGTATCGTATTATTTCCCATTTTAACTTATCACACTGTATCTTATTGTACTTTATCATATCATAATATATCATTTTCTATTATATCATTTCCTATTGTACTGCATCATATAGTTGCGTACTGTATCGTAACATATCGCATGGTATCGTATCATACTGTATTGTATGGTATTTGCTGAATTGTTTCCTATATTAACTTATCGTATCATATCATATTGTACTTTATCGTATCCTTTTGTTTCCTGTGGTTCTTATCGTATCCTATAGCCTTATGTCATTTTGTATCAAATCGTATGGTTTCCTATTTCATCATGTTTTTATGTATTATATCATATGGTTTGGTTGTGTATCAGATCGTATTAGTTTTTTGAACTCTCAGAGTCAGGATTCTCATGTCCTCACTGCAGGTGCCTCATGTTCTTAAATTCTCCTAAAAGCTTTTAAACTCCATCTCAGGGTACTTTCCTCTGTTGATCAGGCTCCATTAAACCTTTGGTAGACACGTTCTGGTTTCTCGCTGGCAGAATGAAGAGGCAACGCTGCACCCTTTAATGATCCAAAGTTAATGCAGAATGATTGACGGCTTCCCCTCAGGTGTGGGCTGGACCTAATCACTCTGTCTCTCTCTCGAGAGAGAGAAGATGTGAAGATCAATCAAAATGCTGCGTGTTTTGTTTGGCACTCGAAATATTTTTGTGCACTCATGGTTTGGATTAGGAGGAGTGACGGAGACGTGTTATACGACCGAATGAATGGCATAAATTGACAAGATGGGTAGGTAATGATGTTAAAGGTACTGGTTAGGTATTAAACGGCTCACTTTGAAAACTTGGACGAGGTACCAGACTCTGGTCTGGATCAGGTTCATCACACGTTCAGAATCTTCTGTTCACACTGGAGTAAATGAAACCACAATAATATTGATCTGAGCAAAAACGATCATTTATCTCACTCCTCTGTTTCCTGTTTTCTCTTACAGAGTTGACGCTCCCTCAGTTTTACAACTTCCTACACGAGATGGAGAGAGCCAAGGCCAGCATGGAGTGTTTCAGCTGAGTGTGTGTGTGTGCGTGTGTGCGCGTGTGTGTGTGTGTGTGTGTGTGTGTGTGTGTGTGTGTGTGTGTGAGAGTGAAAGAATGTGTGTGTGAACATGTCAGGATGGAGCTGCAGGGTGTGTACGAGTGTTGCGTCAGTATTTTGTGCGTGTGGTTCTTGAAGTGACTGAAGAAAAACACGAGACGAGTTTAATTTACTGCATTAAATTTGTACTTAAATCTACTTAATAAAAAAAGGTAAAAATCGTTTCAAACTTTTAAACTCTTAATCTCCAAACACACGCTCTCATCTGTTTTTGTTAACCTGGTGTATTCAGAGAAAGCGTTCCCCCTGAGGGGAAACGAGGGGCATTTCAATCCAGAACTGACTTTGTTAAAGCGAAAGCAGAAACGTGACCTCACCCACGTCTATTTGATCAAGTTTAGTCCTGCTGTTTGTATTATCACGGGACAAAATGTTTCAAATCAAAGATGCAAATTAACCGAGCGCAGGCACACACGCAGAGCGGAGCGTCAGCCTGCGTCGAGGTTAATGCCTGATAATGATGCTCACAGACCTCGAGGCAGATCACAGAAGAGCGAGCGGCTCGGCGGTAACGTGTGTGTACTAGTCCTCGTCATTCCTCAACGTTTCTATTCTTTTAAAATGTACAGCAATTAGCTCATCACTCGAACCCGGAGTCATTGTCTCTGCACGTCTGCGGCAGTCGAGGGCTCAACCACAGCAGCGTCCGACTGACTGACTCTCCAGAGGACGCTCCATCACATGTGATCTGCGTCCAGATGACTCTGTCCATCCTGCTTCACAGTGAGTCGATCAGAGATGATGATCTTTACTGCTCCTCATCGCCGTCCTCAGAGTCACCGATAAATGTGGACGTTTTCCAAAGTGTAGGTTTTGGTTTAAGAAATGTGTTTTTGAAATGTCGTCTGAGTTCGATCATCCTCTGGTGTTTCATCAGCTGTAGAGATTCAGGAAAACTCTTCATGTCAATAACAAAAAGAGGAAAAGTCCAGTCTTTAATTTCCTGAAAACAATCAGCCGAGTGTGAAGCGGCTGGGATGTGAATCAGCACCTCCAAGTCCGAGGTCATGGTCCTCAGTCAGAAAAAGGTAGATCACCTTCTCCAGGTCGGAGGGGAGGTCCTGCCTCAAGTGGAGGAGTTCAAGTATCTCAGGATCTTGTTCATGAGTGAGGGTAGGATGGAGCGGGAGATCGACAGGCGGATCGGAGCGGCGTCAGATCAGTGGTGGTGAAGAAAGAGCTGAGCCGTAAGGAGAGACTCTGGATTTACCGGTCGATCTACGTGCCGATCCTCACCTATGGTCATGAACTTTGGGTAATGACCGAAAGAACAAGATCGCAGATACAAGCGGCTGAAATGGGTTTCCTCCTCAGGGTGTCCGGGCTCAGCCTTAGAGATAGGGTAAGGAGCTCGGACACTCGGGAGGCGCTCAGAGGAGAACCGCTGCTCCTCCACGTCCAGAGGAGTCAGCTGAGGTGTTAGGACGCCTTCTGGACGCCTTCGTTAGAGGTGTTCCAGACATGTCCCACAGGGAGGAGACCTAACCCTAACCCTCAAACTCCAGTCTCCACTTCTTCTCTGGAGTCAGATCCAATCATCTGGACCTTTCCCTCCTCTGATTATGTCTGTACTCCTTCTGACGGGTGCGTTTGTCCTTTTCATGCAAAATAGAAACCTCTCCGGTTTTCTTTTCTCTACGTTTTATGATCACTCGTCAACAAAATCCACATTTTCTTTCAGCTCCAAAGACTCTGAGCAGCAACTTCTACCCGGGTGGAAGTCATGATGAGTTCAGAGTTGTGGTGTCCTCCTGTGATGATTTTTAGGACATTTTTACCAACATTGGACCGGACAGCTGAAGAGAGACGGGACTAAACTGGGAGCAGAGGGCTGAACTTGGAGCGAAAAGGTGAAGCACCCTGAGGTGAGGTGAGATCTTCTTAACCAGAAACTGATGTGATCTCACTCTTCTATAAGTTTCCAAACTCTGCTGATCAAAACTACCTTCACCTCACAAACTAGGGAAAGAGTCTTGCCAACTTCTACGCCAGTTTACAAGTTTGAGTTTCAGCGTCGTGTTCGATCTGAGGATTTCTTTTCAGGATTTCAGACACGTGAAAATACTGACAAGTTTTAAAGGACAAATTAGCGGTTTCTCACTCAAGCATTTAAGCCTGATTACCTGATAAATGTGGGCGTCTGCAGACGACTACAGCTCAGGTATGAAGGTTAGAAAGTCACGCTGGTATCGATAATAACTGTCATTAAAAAACAGTAAAATACTGATAATGGGTTAAAAAGGTGGCTCACTCAGATTCTGCGCTGGTTTCTAAAGTAATAAAATCCCTGTTCAGGTTTTGTAAACTCTCCTCTGGTCTTTTCTCTGACTTACAGAGGCGAGTAAACCTCCACCCTCCACATATTTCTGTAGTCTATAGTAGCTTCAACACATGTCCTCCTCATTTCCTCATCCTGTCATAAACAAACAGCATTATGTCTCCTTCCTGACACTCCGCCTTCACAGAGTTATGGTCGACAATCACAGTCTCTCAAATATTGTTGCTGTTTTACACTCTAAGTTTTATTCACAGAGTATAGTTAATTATTCACATTTATTAACTCGTCCTAACCGGCCGTGTCTTCAGATAACGTGGGAACTTCATGGACGTTCAGCTCCTGTTCTGACGCTGCAGAAACTCACGGATCTCGAACATGTCTGCCTCTGTAACTTTTTTTTTGTCCTTCTAAAGCTCAAAGTAAACAGAAGTAACTCCTCGCTCCCTTCTGTCAGGGATTTCCCTCTCTCAAATTCACATTCTTTCAATTTCTCCCCCACTTCAGCTTCCTCCTCCTCCTCCTCTGTTCACGCTCTCCTTCCTCGCATCATGTGGCCGTACATGTCGCTGCATGTTCTCATCCGTGCAGGAAAACTGTAAAGATCCTTCTGTGTTTCTCTCGATTGTTCCTCCACAGTTTAAATGATCCTGTTTTCTCTGTGACAGAGGCAGCAGCACTTTAATTAGAATTATAACTGTTTGTCTTTTATGAGTGTTTTCAGTAAAGAATCACAGACTCCGTGGTGAGTACGCACTGCAGCTACTGTCAGTTTGCATCGACTTTGACCGCCGGTAAATTCAGTATGAATCAGTTTGTCAGGATAAAACTGGACTTTTCATTAAGTCTGCTGTAGTAATCATTAGTCTGTATTGTCCTCACTTCCTCTTCACTCTTCCCTCAGGAAAACAGGGGACAGAAGGAAGGTAGAGCCTTTCAGCAGAACCGGACCAAGCCTCCTCACTTCTTCAATAATTTCAGTTTTCAGTTTCCATGAGCTTTACTGGCAGGATTGTTGTGACAATATTCCCAAAGTGTTTTAACAGAAAAACAAAAAACAATAACAGTAATAATGATAATAAGAAGAATATGATAATAATTATTATTTTTATTATGAATAATAATGATGATAATATTGATAGTAACAACAGCTACAATGACAATAATAACAATAAGAATAACAACAATAACGGTAATAAAGATAATAAGAATACAACAACAACTACAACAACTATAATAACAACTCCGAAACAACTACAACAACAACAACAAGAACTACAGCTACTACAATAACAACAACTATGACAACAACAGCTAGAACAACTACAACAAGAACAATAACGACAACAACAACTTGAACAACAACAACGACTTCAACTACAACTGCAACTACTACAGTAACAACAACAAATATAACTACAATTACTAGGACTACAAAAATAATAATATTGATAATAATAATAATAGTAATAATATTTTTTATAATAATAATCACAACAGTTATAACAATATTAGTTATAATAATTACAATAACAACAGTAATAGTTATTTTAGTAGAAACAATAATAATAATAATAAATAAATAGTTTCCGTAAATTGTCTTTTTAGACAACTTTTTGAGATATAGAGTCAATATCCAAGAGGAACTTGGAGTAGGGTCGAGTCAGATGAGGTGGCCTAGGTATCTAACCATCTGTGGTGAGGTGTTGAGGAAGACCCGACCCTGGATAAGCAGTAAGAGCTGGATGGATAGTCAGAAATTTAACCCTGACAGTATGTGAGGAATAAAAATATCAAAAACTTTCACTTAACGAAACATTGTTGTAAATCTCTGGCTGTTTTTGTTGAGGTGGAGCAAAACTAACCTTGGACTACGCTCAGTTGAACTGCTAATGAGTGAAAAATGAGAAGATAATGGAAGTAGGTCAGTTTGAAGGTGTGTGCTCGTGTGTTTTTAATGTTTTTAGTGTGTTTACCCAAAGGGGAATCACCGCAGACCGTTCAAGGAAAGAGTCTGTCTGTGAAAGGAACAGATTACCTGAGAAGTGTGTGTGTGTGTGTGTGTGTGTGTGTGTGTGTGTGTGTGTTTTACCGTTGGTGCTACAGAAGGAAGAGGAAGTTTACGGTGAACCAAGTCAAATAGCTCCCAGCTGTCAAACGATACAAGCGTGTCCTTCGCTTCCCATCGTGCCCTCGAGCTGAGAACACACAAGAGGTACATTCCTCTAAGATGTACACTAAAAGTGTGTGTGTGTGTGTGAGTGTGTGAGTGTGTGTTTTTGTAGGAGTTTGCATTTATTTATTATGTTGTATTATATTTGCAAGAGATGGGAGCGGACTGAGAGGACACTTTCCTTCAGATTTTGTTTGTATTTAAATGTGTGTGTGTGTGTGTGTGTGTGTGTGTGTGTGTGTGTGTGTGTGTGTGTGTGTTTGTGTTTGCCTGTGTGTGTGTTCAGTCCAGGTGCAGAGAGTAAAAACCTGATATGGCAGAGAAAGAGAGTTTTTGGTAAAGGTCATCAGAGGTCAGGACTTTAGGGTCAAGTGAGTACATTTTTGCCCCCACAGCCTCGTGTTCGGACGTGTTTTTCAGCACAACGTCATGGAGCTGTGGGTGAACTTGTGACCAACATCTTTCATATAAAGGTTACGAAACGATATTTGTCTTTATTTATGAAGAAATGTTTATAAAAACCAGCGGAAAGCAGAAGAAAGAAGTTCTCTAACATCTGAATCGTATAACTCAGACAGACTGGATTCATCACATCATGCTGGAGAGGCAGGCTCACAGCAGACATCATTTAAAAAGACTGAAAAACTAGATTTCTCTTTTTTCCCTGCAGATGCTAATTACATCCAAGTTTAAGTCAAACATCCAAACATGAAGAAGAGGAACACTGTAGTCCTAGTTTTTAACGTCCTTGTCCTAACACATGTATTCATTCCTCTTTAAATCCAGGATCTCGGTCTGCCGTAGTGGAGTTATTGTATGTTCCTTGTACAGAGGTTTTAGTCCTAAAGTTGTCAACCTAAGTTCTGAGGCCCTTACTGCACATCATACTTTAACTCCCCAGTGTCCTCGGTCGACTTTCTTCAAAATAAAAATGAAAAAGCCCCAAAATCCTGATTACAGTGACTGCAAACGTGACAAAAGTGCCTCTTTTCTTAACCCTAGAACACTGCAGCTAAAGTGAGTATCGCTGGGTGATTTATACCTGAAATAATAAACCCAAGAAAAAGTACTTGTCAACAAAATATATCAAAATAGGACAGTACATGACAAATTAAAGTAGTTTTCTTTTATTTTTAACTGTGTAATGTCCAAAGGGAGGAAAAAAGTGCCATGAGGGGACCAGATAAAAGTGCAACAAAATAACTGAAATCAGGCATTCATTAACCAAAAATTACTAAATATATGTATATATATATATATATATATATATTTCTTTTCCACCCATTCCTGGGGCGTGTGAGTCTTCCCTGGTTCAGATTCAGGGTCCTCAGAGAGAGAACCAGAATCTGTCAGATTTGTAGTAAAAATGTTTAAAGTTGACTCGAATATTTTTTATCTCCATCTGAATTCCCTTGAAAATCACGACTCTGTGATAGTTATTCAGAACCACTGCACTAAATAAAGATAACATGTAAACTCCAGGACCACTCTGACTGACCTTATTCCCTACATGCAGCTATCAAACCCACCCAAACCTACTTTACCCTCCACCACTAACATCAGCCTGTGAACACAAGTCTGGAGGAAAAAACAGGTTTAGGATCAGGGAGACAAATCTGTCTTCAAAGATGTCAAAGGAAACGCTGAAGATACTCAGACAAACACAACATCAGGAACATCACCTAAAAACAGGTTTGGTCAGTGAAAGTCACCCGGCGATAACGTTCAAGGGTTAAATCCACGCTCTCTTTAGATTTATACTCTAATCTTCATCCTCTCATCAGATGGGATGTTAATGTTTTTTTTACTTGGTTGTTTTTCCCCACAGCCAGAAACCAGTAGAACAGGACTCTAATCTGGATCAGCATCACAAACCAAACCTGCTGCTGGTCTGCTGCCAGTGAGCGAGGAGTACTGGGAAAGTTCGCTGCAGGGTCTGATCTCGGCTCTTTGACTGGACACTCTCTGATTTTTTTAATCTTTGGTGAAATGTTGGAGCTGACTCAGTAAGAGTGATTGAAATAAGGATGTTAAACTTGACTGCAGATTAATTTACTGTCATGTCAAAGCAGAAAACTGAGGTTTACAGCTCTGATTCTCCAAAGAGCTCTGGGCCATGCATGTCCCTCTTTTCACTTGTTATCGCAGCAGCAGCAGCAGCTGTATGGAGTTTGGTTTAAATGTCGTCTTTTATTTTACGGCCCCTGTGGACAAAGATGTATGTCTTACATCTTTGCTGATTCTGTCAAGCACAGGCATGTGAAGCAGACCTATATTTTACTGGAAATGTCCCCCTAAAGAACTTTTCACTCCATATCTGTTCCCCTAATTACCCGAACAGAGGCTCCGTATTCTGCTCAGATTGCTCAGTAGGAATGTGAAACATATTAAGATAACAGGCCGTCTAAATACAGTCTGTTTACAGCTAATGGTCCGACTTTCATTGATAAGAGGCATCACTGTCAAACTGAGTCTGTTTAAGAACCTCTTGGACTGAGACTGCTCACAGTGGCTGAATTTAGGGGTTGTTTTTACAAGCGTCAAGCTACAGGATTATGCGTGTCAAGATTTGTCTTTGAGACACCGAATAACAAACTATAGAACCTCTGATTTTCTGCACAGTAGCTGGAGAAGATCTTGATAAGGAGTCGAATCTTTGAGACGCATTATTGATTTAATCACAAAATTATAATAGAATAAAGAAATGATCATAAATGTTCTTCCTTGAGCTGCGGCACCCCGCTGTAGTCTGTAATGGACTGGCCTGAGGTCTCACGACAAACAAGCGTCTGCTGGAAGAGAGTAGGTGAGTTGTGTTTAGTCTCTTTGTTAAAAAAATGAGGCAAAGTTAAAAAGATCTATCTATCTATCTATCTATCTATCTATCTATCTATCTATCTATCTATCTATCTATCTATCTATCTTTCTCTCTCTCTCTCAGGTGAAGGTCTACCTGCTGCATCTACATAAAGTCTGGATCTCCTGGTGAATCAACATTTACTTCAGAAAGAGCAAAAACGCTGCAGAGAGGAGGATGGTACCCGACTAGGAATGACAGGACTTTGGTATGTAGACAGTCGACTCTCTCTATGTTGTTTTGGTGAAATGAAAACCACAACAAGGAGCAGCCTGAGGTCTAAGAGGAGAAACTGCTAAAATGATGACGATGTACAAATGACTCAGTGTTGTGGAGGTTGAACTAAGTGTTATGAGAACTTTCATTCTTATCTGAGAAATGAACCAAAGCCACTGGGAAAAACTGTAAATCTCCTGGATGTGTCAGACGAGCACAGTCTGTTTATTCACAACGTCAGATATCAGGCTGCAGAGTTTGTCCTGAAAAGTTTGACGCTGACAGATAATATAGAATCAAAGAGGAGAGTTTGGGTTGACAGGTCTGATGCACCTGATGTAGAGCTCCCTCTGCTGTGATGTGGGGGAACTACATCTGCGTGTGTCAGTAAGAGGAAGGAAACGGCAACGTTATGGTCATGGAGGCTGTGGAAGTGTGTGCTGTACTTGTCGTAGTTGAGCATATATCACATGTGTGTTTTGTTGATAAGCGTTGACTTGTCCTGACCCTCTGTGACTGTCGGCTGTAATTAATGCCTTCCTCTTTCTTACTGTGAGAATGTAAAAGAGAAGTTGTTATCAGAGAGGAACACGCTTCAGTTCAGGCTTTAACACCAGTTATTTGTACTAAAACATGGAGAGTTCAACTGTTCTCCATGTAACCTGACACACACGCTGTCAACAAGAGGAAAACAGAAAAACTAACACAGATTCCTTAAAGCAGACTGAGTGCTGCTCTGACCTTCTTAAATACTAGAAATATAGTAATATTAGATTCTTCTTAATATCCATGTTTGGATCATTTTCATGCAGATTCCAGGAATGGACTCATGCATTATTTTTTTTACATCTAGTCCTAGTTGCCCACAGGTCTTAATGTGTTCTAACTCCTAAGAAAACATAAACTTCAGCAGGGGCGTTTCTCCCAGAGCAGTAGATTAAAACTTAATAATACTGCTCTGGTTTCTCCACCTCTGTAGTCTATAAGCTGGGCCAAGAAACTTCTACTGTAGTAAAATGAAAAGGTAAAGGTGTTTTTATTGAGCCGAATTATCAATATAATCATGATTTTGTTAACAGGTATGTATTTATGTGCTGTCGAGTTAATATGTTTGAACAAGAGCACAGTAAAGTTAAATCAGCTAATTTTCCAATGAGGTTCTGTTACTGAACAGAATTACACCATGTTCTACTGAAGTTAGTACATATAGGGTCACAGCCATAGTACTAGACACCAAACATCTTTTTAACTTTGACTAATTTCTTTAGCAAAGAGACTAAACACAACTCACCTACTCTCTTCCAGCAGACGCTTGTTTGTAGAGAGACCTCAGGCCAGTCCATTACAGACCACAGCGGGGTGACGCAGCTCAAGGAAGAACATTTATGATCATTTCTTCATGGAAATACAATCAGACCGAGACGCTGAGACAGAAGAACTACCGCGTCTGTGAAATGATTAATATGATGATTATTACTTCAAGGAAATGTCAATGATCTGTTTCGTTACTAAAGTTGGTATAACTAGAGAAGGAAGCGGTCGGCAACATTCATCTCTGGAGGGGGGGTCTAACTCAGTGTTACGGTGGGTTTGACCCTAGATTAATTTTCTGCCGGAATATCCCTTTAAAGAGAATGATGTTAGATAACCACCAGCTCATGTTAAAGCAGAAATGTTCATCTAGGTCAAAGAATAATACTCAATTTCAGACTCATCTGCAGATACTTAAGACGTGCATCCCCGTTTTACTCTTCCTCAAAAATCAGAATAATGTTTCAGAGATCCTTCTTTTCTCTGCTGTAATAAACTGATGTATAAAGTCACACACCTGCAGAGTTTCTACATTTCAGCCTCCAGCCTTCTTCTCTCAGATGTTTATTCATATGAACACTCGCAGTCGTAGGAAAACCCCTCTGCTGTACAGATGAACATTCTGATGGTCAACCTCCAGAGTGAGGATGAAACCTGAGCTTCATAACACCCTCCCTTCCCCCCCTAACACACACACACACACACACACACACACACACACACACACACACACACACACACACACACACACTTGGCAGCCCGTAATTTCACCCCTTCAGAGGTACCTTTCTAATCCCCCCCTCTCCCTTTTTTTTGTTGCCGGGCTCCTGTTACTTAGCTACCAGTTGCCACGGTTGCTTGGGCTGATGGGGTTACCTTGGCAACCATACCCATCCTATTGTGTGGCAATCGAGCCACAGTGGGCCTGTCCCAAGGATACACACACACACACACACACACACACACACACACACACACACACACATATAAGGGATAAAGTTATCCCATGGCAGCCCCTCCCCTTCCTCCTCCCCCCACCTCCCCCACCTACATGCCTCACCCATGTCTTTGCCTCACAACCACCCCCTCTCCCCACCCCCTCTCGACACACACACACACACACACACACACACACACACACACACACACACACACACACACACACCTGTTTGCAGCTCCAGGTTGTTGTTATTTGGCCATGAAACCTGTGGAGAATACTGCTGTGTGTGTGTGTGTGTGTGAGTGTGTGTGTGTGTGTGTGTGTGTGTGTGTGTGTGTGTGTGTGTGTGTGTTTAAAGAGAGAAAGGGGATTAAAACCTTATTAATAATCAAGTATATATGAAGCCCACCCACAAAGCTAAATCGTCTGCATCGTACCCCCTCCTCCTCTTCTTCTTCTCTTCTGTGGTGTGCAAGAATTGACTGTAACTCTGAAACGCTGTGATACAGGAAGTGTGTGTGTGTGTGTGTGTGTGTGTGTGTGTGTGTGTGTGTGTGTGTGTGTGTGTGTGTGTGCCGTCAGCCAAGGTGCTAATGTATTTACAGACAACCTGCTAACAACCTGCTTCATAAAAGCTGAAGAGGAGCATGAAAAAAACCGTCCGTAGTGTCATTGGAAGGAAACAAATCCATGTCTGATGTGAAGGGTTCGAGGAGAAAGAACCAAAGAAATCCTTCAAACACAGAATCACAGAGTTAGAAATTAGTGACCTCTTCTTCTCCTCCAACCAAAGAAGGCTCAACAGGTCCTGGAGTCAGCCCTGTCACACCTTTCCACCAGCAGAGGGAGCTGTTGATTAATGACCAAGACGAACACTGGAACAAAGACTGAGAAAAACGAGCAACAACAGAAAAACATCCTGAACAGATTCTGTGTCAGTAACAAGATGAAGAAGTAGAGAAGCATCTGTTTGGATCAGATGGACATGAAATGGTTAAAAAAATCAAAATAAGATCTTTGAACATTTACAAGTTAAAGGAAACAGTCGAAACTGCTGCAGTTTTCACATCTGAGGAGAATAAGACATTTATGATAGCCGACACTGTTCTGCAGATTCAAGAGGAGGAACATCAGCAGATTCTTCACCTGAAATACTTCTTCAAAACTAAACGCCTTCTCTGACCCGTTCACCACAGATCTGAGTAGTTCAGATATTTGATGTTTTAGTTTCTTTGTCATCTCAGACCTGAGAGGCTCTTGTTCCTGCTGCTGGGCTGGTTTTGGTCCGCTAAGACTGCACCTCCGGACGGGTCATTTTCAAGTAGAGATGTGGTATTTGACCCCTAAGAGAAAGTGAGGCGAGTCTTTCTGGTTCAAAACCCTATCTTGGCACATACAGGACAGAGATGAGACGTATTTCACACACAGCTTTATCACTGGTGTTTGTCCACTGTCTGATTATGCGTCTGTTGTTTGGGGGTTTCATGAATATACAAGATGTAATTCAGGTCCGTTGGGGGTCCAGAGATCTACATCTGTTCTACAAACGTGAAATTTCTCAGAGATGGATGTCTGATCAGAGAGGATATTTTTTAATCTGTGGAATCTACATTTTATATTTCTATTTTAGGTTATTCTGTGACACTCAAGAGGTGAGAAACTGTCCTCGTTTAATGCTGGATTCTTCTTCTACAGACTACAGCGGGGTGCCGCAGCTCAAGGAAGAACATTTATGATCATTTCTTCATGGAAATACAATCAGACCGAGACGCTAAGACAGAAGAACTACAGCGTCTGTAAAATGATCAATACGGTGATTATTACTTCAAGGAAATGATAAAGAAATGATCATAAATGTTCTTCCTTGAGCTGCGTCACCCCGCTGTAGTCTGTAATGGACTGGCCTGAGGTCTCTCTACAAACAAACAGCTGCTGGAAGAGAGTAGGTGAGTTGTGTTTAGTCTCTTTGCTAAATAAATGAGTCAAAGTTAAAAAGATGTTTGGTGTCTAGTACTATGTCTGTGACCCTATATGTCCTGTTGATGAAGTTAGGTGCTGTTCTGAGCATTATTTGTAGCTATAGAGTGGCGTTTTGGTTGGGGGCGTGGCTCTCTGTATTTCTATCCTGCGGTCGTTACTAAAGTTGGTATAACTAGAGAAGCAAGCGGTCGAGGGGGTGTCTAACTCGGTCTTACGGTGTGTTTGACCCTTAAATACATTCACAGATTTTGTTCTTCTCATAAATGTGACAGAAAATCCTGCAGTTTTCTTTTATTTCGTGATTAAATTCGAGTCGTCATCAGAACTAAAAAACAAACATTTGTGTCTCCTCTCCTCACACATGTTCATGTCCATGTTCTCACTCATGTTTGTGTCTCTGTACGGTGGATTTTGCTCCGGCAGCAGGCAGGAAATCGTTGCAGGTCACGCTTCACCGACGAGCTGAATTCATGAGCACAGAGCCGCCGCCATACGACGAACAAACACGCTTTACATTCTGCAACTTATTAATGTGTGTTTGTGTGTGACGTGAATGTGCATGAGGGTTTGTGGGTCTTTGTAAAGGCTTTTGCATGTTCAGAGTCCTTAAAACTTAATGAGTGAGTTTAATCTGTCAGAGTGTGTGTGTGTGTGTGTGTGTGTGTGTGTGTGTGTGTGTGTGTGTGTGTGTGTGTGTGTGTGTGTGTGTGCGTGTGCTCCAGCCCTGACAGCGGGAAGGTCACACTTCAACAACGTGGACGCAAAACAGTCTCCACCACAGGATGAATAAACATGCTTTACATATAGAGGCTCATTACTGCCCGGCTGTGTGTGTGTTTGAGTCTGCGTGTTTAACTGACAGAGAAGAAGAAGAAGCCATTAGTGCACGCTGTGTGTGTGTGTGTGTGTGTGTGTGTGTGTGTTTTATCAGGGCTTTTATGTTATTAGCTTTGGAGAAATGTAAAAGAGTGTGTTTGTTTTGCAGCGCAGCAGGAATCATGATGTGCGTGTTGAGTGATGCCCATTATAACTTCTGTGTGAGCAGCCATTCGCAGTCCACGCCGCCGCCTCCCCCGTTCAGATACACTGAAGAAAAAAAAAGAGAAAACCGCACCACCCCTATTTCTCCTGCAGGCATGCTTCATAACGTGTTTTTTTATTGTTTTGTTTGCTGTCCTGCAGCAAGTGTGCAGTTCACCGCGTCCCTCAAGGGTCCGTACCCGGCTGTCGCCTTGTTGGGGTTTGGTCCTGTAACATGACGTGCTTCACAATATCAAGAGGTTTAAGGAGTGAAATCTCTGTACTGTGCTGCGGCGGCCGTGATGGTGGTGGTACTGTTTGAGTCTGTTGTGTGGTGGATTATAATGAGTCATGAAGCATTTGAATTATGCTTTAGAGACTGAAGCTGAACACGTCAAAAAGTGAATCTGTGAAATAAAAACATGTCAGTTCAGTAAAGGTGTGCAAACCTGGAAGCAGCAGGAACTGATGTCAATTTGTTTATGAGACACAAATACACCAGAATTAAAGGTGTGGTAGGCGGTTTTCCTTTCAAGAAGAAGAAGAAGAGTCCTTGAATATCAGTCAATAGTCATTAGTTATTGATGACATTTGGTAATATATCGATATCTCTGTGTTCTCTTATGTCTGTGTCGTCAACATTTGAACATTTTTGAGCGGTCCGCTCTTTCTGACTGTAAACAAAGCCGTTCTCCACCTCCTCTAACCTGATTGGTTGTGAGGCAGACGCTGCTCCCCCGTATGAAAACTCTCCTGAATGAAAACACATCAGATCTAAAACCTCTTTAAGACCAAAAATGCTCAGTGGGTCAGTATTGGCAGCAGTATCTGCAGTGTTCATGTGTATTAGATTTTTAATTGTGTTGTATAACGAGTATTGAACTCTTTTTTCTTTTCTTATCAAACTCAGATGCTGGAAGACACAGGAGACCATATCTGTCTAATAGAAGCCTGATAATACAGATAATAAGCCTGAATATCAGCCGTCATCGCCGCATGTCCAGTTTTCATGTGAAATCTAAGACTGAAATTTCTCTTAACATTACGGTGTGTTTCAGCTGTTTTTTGTCCGTCTCTCAGAATAATCATGTGACCTCGTATCGTTTGATTTGAGGTCCCGTTGTGTACTTTTTTTTGCTTATTTGGTTCACATCACTAAAGTTAATGCAGAGTGCAGCCAGTCTCCCCTCCATGAAGGTTAAGATGTGTATTTTTTTAAACAGTTTTGATTGATTTTTGATTTGAACGCGTCTTTAAGTCTCTTAATTGTCTTTAAATATCAAAGGTTTTTCTCATGACTCCTCAGCTTTAATGGTTGAGCACTCTTGCGTTGAATAATTAACATCAGCTCATCATCTGCCTGTGTATTGAAGTGTGTCAGCTTAATTAAATTGCATTAATCTCTTTTACATTTAATGCCACTCATATATTACCACACAGTGTGAACCTTTGATCCCCCGCCGACCCGTCTTCATGAGGCCCGGTCCGGGTTAACCGGCTTCATCAGTCAGTGCAGGTGTGAGCGCTGAACCCCTTTTGTGTGTGTGTGTGTGTGTGTGTGTGTTCACTCAGTATTATTGTTGTTCTATTGGATTAAATCGTTCTTTTTATTAGAATAAATATTCCAATTATAAACCTTTAATTTTACCTCTTTATACTTCCTGTTCAGGGTTTCTTCTTGTTGCTCTAAATTTGGTATTTTTTCCTTGTGTGTGTGTTTGTGTGTGTGTGTGTGTGTGTGTGTGTGTAATGCAGGCCATGTACATGCTTATACATCCCTTCATATATCTGCGTACATTACTCTGCCAGTCTGTGTGTGCTCGACTAAATCTGCATGTGTGTACCTTTGCACATGATTGTATGTTGTGTGTGTGTGTGTGTGTGTGTGTGTGTGTGTGTGTGTGTGTGTGTGTGTGTGTGTGTGTGTGTCCCAGCCAAGAGTCAGCGGCAGACCTCGTCCTCGACGCCCACTCACACTCCCTCCAGCTGACTGGCACCATGGCAACCATGAGATCCAGCCAGCCGAGCAGGCGAGGCAGCTTGGGTCCTGTGTGTGTCTGTGTGTGTAGCTCTGTGGGTTTGTGTCCATTTCTGAGCGTTACAGTGGGTCCTACTGATACACATCCTTCATATTCATGTGTGTGTGTGTGTGTGTGAGTGGGGTTTACATCTATGTGCATATAACCAAATGTATTCCATCCCGGCTCTGTTGTTCCAGTGTCAGCTCATGCATACATGCGTTTGTTTATATGAGTGACAGGAGGCACATATGCAGTTGTGTGTTTGGAGGAGGATGCTCATTTAGGCATGCATAGCTCCGTGTAGAGGCGTGTGTGTGTGTGTGTGTGCGCCTGGAGGCATGCATGTGTGTTGGTCATCCATAGCTGGGTCAGAGTGAGGATGTTTTCATAAATGCTTCAGGAGGAGGATCAGGATGGGGTGATGATGCTGTTCTCCTCGTACTCCAGGATCTGTGTGTGACGATTAAAAGACAGAAACATGATCCTCAGAGGTCGACGAGACTTTGTGGTCCAGGTGTTTAGACTGAGTACAAAGAGGGTGAAGGCCAGTTAAAGGGGAGAACGCTGAAGATAGTGACACCATGAGAACACAGTGATTGGAGCCAGAGTCAGCTCTGTAGGGATGGTCTACTATGAGATTATTTTCATACTATACTGTAACATGTTTCAACAAACTAAACTATGAAAATTTTTTTCATAAAAAAATATGAAATTTTAATAAAACTATACTAAATTTTTAACATTCTATAATATGACATTATACAGTAACATTTTTTGAATAATAAAATTTAAATTTTTTATTATACAATTGTATAACATTTTTTATCATATTATACTGATTTTTTTAACATTCTGTACAATGTCATTATTTTCATATTAAAATTAGAAATTTTTATTACACTATACTTTGACATTTCATACAAAAAAGTGACTTTTTATCATACTATTGTATAACATTTTTTATCATATTATTTTTTTACATTAATAAGTTTGATTTTTATCACACTATCCTGACATTTTTGTTATACTTTACTATGACATTGTTTTAATACTAAAATTAAAGTTGTTTTTTTTTATCAAACTATAGTAATAGAGTTTTTATCATCCAAAAAATTTGAAGTTTTTATCAAACTATACTATGACATTATTTTAAAACTAAAATTTGACATTTTTTTCATACTATGTTATGACATTTTTAACAAACTATTCTTTGACATTTTATACGAAAAGTAACATTTTTATCATACTTTAGTAAGATATCATATTATACTTTGGCATTTTAGCATACTGCACTATGACATAGTTTTAATGCTAAAATTATTATTTTTTTATCACACTATACTATGACATCTTTATCATACTAAACTGACATTTTTCTCTAGTTAAAATTCTAAGTTTCTATCACACTCCATGGTCTCTCTCCCCTCTGTCTAACCAAAGTTTTGTCTAACTTTAGTCCACAGCAGAACAGATTCTCCTCCAGTTTGGAGCAGACACTCGCGGCTCCAGAACGTCTAATGGTTCCTTGTGATAATGCTCGTTCTTTTCTCCTGTTTTAATCTATGGCGCCTCTTCTGAGGGTCTTCCTTCCTCTCCAGCATCTGGACGACTTTCCCTCAACATGTTAAACCGTTCTGTTGCAGATAAAGTCATCAAACAGGGGACTGAACCCAACTGTGCTGTTTGAAACTCTTCTTCTTCCTCTTCATCCTTCTTTGGGACAGTTTCTCATTGTGTGCGGAGCCTCAGCAAACCCGACAGTGAAGATTTCGACATTTACAGGGTGTGACAGAAAAGAGGAAGAAGAAGAAAAAGAAGAGGGAAGAAGAAGGAAATTCAAGAGGCCCAGCGGAGGACGACCCGGGACACGTCTCAAAGAAGAACATAGAGACCCTCGCAGAGCCGTCACCCCTCGACTCTTTTATGTTGAGTAGTTAGTTGTGCAGATTCAGTGACTCTTAGGTTGTGACTCGGACATCCTAAAACCTCCCAAACTTCCAATAAAGCTGCTGTCACGTGGTTCTCCAGACGATCTCTCACAGAGAGGAGCAGGAGGAGCGGAGGAGAGACCAGAGTGTTTTGAAACAGACTTTCACTTCCCATGGTGGGAGGTTATTTTCATCCTCTTTGTCGTGTTTTTTACCCCATCCTCTGATTCCTTTGGGGAAGCCCAGAGCCTTCAGATAAGACAAACCTAACGGCTCAGTTTGAACTCAAGTCGACCCTGTTAGTCTTTGAGAAAACACGTGTTTCAATGACGACGTTTCTCTTTACACCACGTCTGTTAAATAAGACGGTGTCACGTCTGTTTGGGTTTACAGGAAAGACAGAAAACATGACATTAGTGACACATTTTGACATGTTTGATTAGTGACACATTTGACATGTTTGTAAAGACTCACAAATTACACATGATGTGGACAAAAACTGCAGAGTTGACTTTGTCCACAAGAGGGCGCCAAAATCAACACAAGACGAAAGTTTCTCACAGGAGCTTGAGTTTTATTCTGGTACTTTGACACCTTCATTCAGAGAGGAGGAGAAGCGGGGACTGATGTGTTGAATGGACGTCACTGTAGCTCCTCACTTTGTCCTCATGTCCTGACTGTGGGGGCGTTACCAAAACGTCTTTATTCGTCACATTTAAAAACCACCAGAGCATCCATGAGTCCAGAGACACAAACAGGGATTTCTTGAACGACTTGTCCGTCTTTTTAGCTCTTGTCCGGTCTACCTCCGTTTTAAGCGCCCGTTATTCCTCCAGAGTCTCCGGTATTTACTTTGTTTTCTTGCTTGTGTCGGCAGTCGTGGCCAAAGGAGGATTCAGACAATTTTCCGAACTTTCTGCTTGGTTTCTACTGTCCGATATTGTAGCACGCTAACTTTGTTTGGGCTCCTGAACGACACGGGGGAGCAGCGTCTGCCTCACAACCAATCAGGTTAGAGGAGGTGGAGAACGGCTTTGTTTACAGTCAGAAAGAGCGGACCGCTCAAAAATGTTCAAATGTTGACGACACAGTGTTACAGCTGTGTGTTTTAGGTGTGTGTGTTTTGTGTGTTTCCCCCTTTTGTCTCCTCATAGCTGCCCAGGTGAAGTCACTGAGTGACAATCAGACTCACCTGGTGCTGAGACTTTAACGATGCAGAGCTGTCTCCAGTCTGCAGAGGTAGATGGAGAAGGAACTGCTGTGTTGTGGGTTCTTTGTGTTTAGTTTGTAATTTTGTTATTTTGTCACAATAGATCACTTGTAAAACGTTTGAAGGTGTTTTGTTAATTCAGTGGGTCGATAGGTGAGGATAGTTGTTTGCCCCATAGGGCTGCCTTTGGGTGGGGCGAAACAACAGACATAACAAAACACAGAGATATCGTTAAATTCCCAAGTGTCATCAATAACTAATAACTATTGACTGACGTTTTAAGATTTTTTGTAAATAAATCACAAATAAAGATGCTTCTGTAACAGATACCTGTCTATCACACCTGTAACAGTGGAAAAGTCAGCGCAGGTAGGAGCATGTGCAGATCTGACAAGAGCTCCTGTAACTGAGCTGTCGTCTGCAGTTTACCTCTACAGATCAGTCAGGACTGTATGTATGTGTGTATTTATGTGTGTGTAAGTGTGTGTATGTGTGTGTATGTGTGTGTGTGCTGATACCCAATGTTCTCTTTTAACCGCCCTCATACACATCAACCAGAGCACATAAACAAGTCATAAAACACGGCAAAGAGTCCCGTACTGCCCACAAACTCCAGGACACGCTGTACATTTCTGCTCCGTCCCTCCACCTGAACTTTGACTCACCTTACCCGCCAAATTCTCAGACAGCAGAGGTCGATGGTTTTATTTCTGTTCTGTCATTTAAAGACTGGCACAGCGTCCCTGTCTCTTTTTTTTTAACCCTGGTATCTGCTGCAGCGCAGAGCAGCCGATTGAGCAACAATGAGTGTGAAGCTGAAGGCGGCTGTGATATTCACCCTGATAAGAGCAGACAAACGGAACTGACTGCTGCAGGTGGCTGTCACTGTGTGTTTCAATGCTGCTCACACACACCGCAGTGTTTGACATTTAGATGTGTGTGTGTGTGTGTGGTGTGAGGTGTCAAACCCGAGTCTGATACTCCATCCTGTTGTTTTAAGGGTTTCCAGTCGTAATTAATCACAATTATAAAGAATATAAAGATGATGTAGTCGTGGGTGTTTGTTGTGTTGTTGTATTTTGTGATGATCTTTTGCTAATAGGGGCAGAAAGGATGTTAAAGTGTCGTGTTTTTAACTTCTACAGACTACATCAGCTTCACCTGCAGCAGAGAGAGTAATTAAAGGGACAGTCTGTGGAGTTTTTCAGTGTTTAGCAGGAGTGATTTGGTAGAAATAGAAGAAAACATTTGTATACGTGTTTGAAATAGTGATTAATAGGGGTGGGAGAAAAAAATCGATTCATATAAGTATCACGATTTTGTTTTAAATATGTAAATATGGTTCCTGAAATAGTCAGTAGACAATAATAATCATTGAACTGTTACACTGGAGTTAAAGATGCAGACGAAAAATGGAGAAAATCAGAAGAAGAAAAACAAACACAGAGATCTGTACGAGTGAGGAGGAGATGTTGGATTCTTGATGAGTAAAAAGAGAGAAGTATGAGATAAACACTTATTGCACAACAGTCAGCGAGGAAAAACTGGTCCATGAAAAGTTCCTCAAAAGAACTCTTGGATTATTTTTGGGTTTTTGCTTTTATTTGGGAGGACAGCCGAGGAGAAACGGGATATGAAGAGGAGGAGGCATGCAGCGGCTAGAGACAGCTCAGAAAGGAACAGAAGTTACTCAGTCAGAGAACGACATGTCTGTGTAACTCAAAGGTTCATTATAGAGGGTTTATTTTATATTTTTGCTTCAGCTCCAATCAGACATGAGAGTTAAACAACGACTGTCTGAGTTCGTCTCTGCTGAGAAATTAAAGTCGACATTTCGTTTCTTCCAGGAGTTTCCTGTCGTGTCTGCAGAGGGAGGAGATCTGTTTCCACCTGAGTTGACTGAGTGAAGCTGCTGTCCGCCCGCCTGTCTGTCCGCCTGTCTGTCTTTCTATACAACAACAACAAGGTTAATGAACACAACTATAGACTCGGACACTCGTATGTACACACATGCATTTAAAAGCAAATGGTGTCAATGCACATAAAAGTCGACATACACGTTAATGACTTTATTTGTCTAACAGGAAGGAGGAGACGCTGAATATCTGAGAGTCTCTGTGAGGACAGAGGAGTCCACTTTCCCTGAGGGGACGTTAAAGTACGTCTTATCTTTGTCTGGATATGAAACAAAATTAACAGTCATTATTTTTGTTTAGGTTTATTTTTGGCTTAAAGGTGGGGAGGCAGTATTTCTTTAAAGAAGCACCTTTATTTGTGGTGTTTATACAAAGCAGCTGTTAATATCAGTCAATAGTTATCAGTTATTGATGACATTTGGTAATATATCGATATCTCTGTGTTCTGTTATGTCTGTGTCGTCAACATTTGAACATTTTTCAACAGCGTGCTCAATCTGTCTGTCTCCATACACCAATCGTGTCTTTGCATTGACTTAACATGTAATTCATTCGCGCGAGTGATTTTACTCGCGCGAATGAATTACATGTTAAGTCAATGCAAAGACGCGATTAGATGCTCCTACGACTCTGGCGGCCCGAATGGCGCAAATTAGGCAGAAGCTAAAAATGTTGCGTCGCGATAACTTATCAACACAACACATCTTAGTCTATCACTTGATCTCGCCGGTTGACCTTGCAGAGATCACCGTTGAAATTACTGTTGACGCGCGAATGAAGCGAGTAAATACTATTCAAACGTCTAGATTCGCACAAATAGTAGTTGATTGAGTAGATGATTTTAAACAAAGCCGTTCTCCACCTCCTCTAACCTGATTGGTTGTGAGGCAGACGCTGCTCCCCCGTGTCGTTCAGGAGCCCAAACAAAGTTAGCGTGCTACAATATCGGACAGTAGAAACCAACCAGAAAGTTCGGAAAATTGTCTGAATCCTCCTTTGGCCACGACTGCCGACACAAGCAAGAAAACAAAGTAAATACCGGAGACTCTGGAGGAATAACGGGCGCTTAAAACGGAGGTAGACCGGACAAGAGCTAAAAAGCCGGGTCAACATAAACCATGGGGGACGCTTGGGGATCTTGGTGACCCTGTAACCTTTCGTAGGTGTGGCCAAGTGATAGGCAGTTTGTTTTTACTCTCAGGCAGCGAATGGTGGAAAAGTAAAGCTATCCTCCACCTGTTCTGAGAGTAAAAGGTTCAAATGTGCGTCAGGAACCTCATTTATCATCACTCAGTGTTTCTCAGCTTCAATCATAGGAGGACACATTATTTTTTGGATGGATTAGTCTGAGTCTGAACACAGCAGCTCAGCCCAGAGGAACACGCTGTGAGCTGTCAGACGGCGCCGCGTTCCTCTTTCAGGCCGCTGAGCGATGCTGTGTCGGAGGAGTGTTTTCAGCTGCCGGGTTCAGCGCCTTCTTCCTTATTTTGACGTGTGCGCCGCGGCTGTTTCTGCAGCGGGTTCCTGGCAGCCTGTTTGTAACTCGGCTTGCTCCAGTGATTTCAAGGTTGCAGGCGAGTGTCGGAGGGAGGCGAGATGACGGTTAGACTCAGCTGGGAATCAGACGCCCAGATACACAGCTGAAGTTCGTTCAACTGCTCCTGAATAAGATGTTCAAAAAGAGGAAGACGAGAGGATGAGAGGAAAGAAGGAGAACCGAGCAGCTGCTCTCCTGTTTACATGGACAGCTGAGTGGTGTTTTTCCAGGATTCTCCTCTTTTCTTCTCATTCAGAAAAAAGTTTCACATGAACTTATTAAAAATTTAATCTGATCACGGCTGAGAAAAGACAAACTGTCCGAAGCTCTGAGGGTCTTTAAAGAGAGATTTTCTCATTAATACCTCCTTTGTTTTCTCCTAGAGATGCTGCCATGTCTCGGTGTTGATCAGGTTTGTTCAGAGGCGCCCCCTGTGGACAAAGTGATAATCTTGTCCCGTGCGTATTCAAATATTTTTTTCTGCCTCTTTTTTATTTGCAGCGGGCTTCGATTTCTTTCTTTTTTTAATTTTTCTTGAATTAGTGACTTCTGTTGTGGCTTCTTTATTTTTGCATCCTTTTATATTTGCAATAAGTTATTTAAATTTTTTTGCATTGCCATTTTTTAATCATTTTTCACTGTGTAGGTTTTTTCGTTTTTATCTACACTGTTTCTTATTTAATTTGCAGCAGGCTTCGGTTTCTTTTTTCTTCTTTTTTACTGGTAACTTCTATTTGACTTTTTTTTTTTGCATTCTTTTTTATTTGCAGCAGTGGCAGTTCTCGGCCACCGTATGTTAAAGCTGCTGTGAATCATCCCATGACGGTTATAAAAGACCCTGAAATAAACGAAACTGCACTTTAGGACCCCCAAAATAAACAGGACTTTTATCAACAATGTTTAATCCTTTTTTTTATGATTATTTTTCGACGCCTGTGCGCTCGCCGCTGCAGCCACAAGAGACAGGAGTTAGTTCCATTGGCCCCAAAACACATATTCTGAGTGTGTCATATGTTTGACAGTTAAAGACGTCAGAAGGAGATTTTTTTTGGAGAGGCAGACAAAAATATATATATATGCATGAGACAAGATTATCACTTTGCCCAGAGAGGGCGCCAAAATCACACTCTTCAAAAAGTTTGTCATGAGAGCTTTAAGTGAGACTGAACAGCGAACTTTAATCTGCAAACACCTCAAATGTCTGGATGACTTTCAAAAACAGTCTCAGGTATAATCATATGAATCTGATTTGACTGACAGTTTCCCTCTGTGTCCACAGGGGGCGCCAAAATCACACTATTCAAAACGTTGTCAGGAGAGCTTTAAGCGAGATTTATTTATTTTTTTATCTGCACCGTTTCTCTTTTTTGTTTTTTCTGTGCAGTGGGCTTTGTTTTTTTTGTTTTTTTCATTTTGCATATATATTTTTTTTTTTTTTGCAGCAGTGGCATTTCTCGACCACCGTATTAACAAACTAGAAAATCAGAGACAGAAGGAGGTTTAAACAACAGACGAGGGAAATTTTGTTATAAAAACAGAAAAAAGAGTTGTTGAAGGAGACGTGGATTTAAAATATTAAAATAAAATCAACAACATTTCATGACAAACTTTGTAAAAACAGGTTTAAAGTTCCGGATCTATGTTTTGTTTTTTAATGAAGACTTTTTCAATCATCTTTATTGATAAATTGGACTCTGATCACATTGATCATTTTCACTTCACAACTTGAGAGCAGCTTCTCTTTGTCCTCCTCTCAGTGTGTGTAACTCCCCTCTGACACCTCCAGGACTGTGTGTGTGCGTGCGTGTGTGTGCGCGTGTGTGTCTGCTGCGCGTTTTGGTCATTTTTTTTGACACTTCCTGCTTTTTCAGCTCGAGCTCCACGCAGCAGCAGCAGCAGCCGCCGCGTGCACGTCCCGTTGACTCAGTCCGGGTGAACAGGCTGGTCCGGTACCGTGTCGCAGCAGCAGCAGCAGCAGCAGGAGGGTCTTCGTGTGTTTTTTCAGGACCACCGTCCGGATCTTGTTGGACTGTTTCTCACATTGTCTCGTTGGTTTGAGGAGGAAATGAGGCGCAGCGCTCCGCTCTGAGGAGGAGGAGGACAGACGAACCGGATTCAAACAGGTGTCCGGCTGGAGGAAGAGCTCAAAGCTGGAGCAGATTCAGGTCTTTCTTTCTGGAAACAACGTTGATATTAACCGTGAATATTCGGGACGTTTTCCTCCCTCCTGTGATGGAGACCCTGCAGCCAAACCTGCAAACACCCACCGTTTGTTTTTAAGGAGGAAAAGCAGAAACAGTGAGCGGTTCATCCCCCTTTTTCTCTCTCTCTGTGTCTCAGAGGAGGAAGAGGAGGTGGTGGTAGAAAAAAGAGGAGGCGGTGACCGACATCCCCCACGGGACAGGCCGAGAGACCCACGCTTCTTCTAACAGGTGTGTCTGAGAGCGCACACCGCGCTCCAATCTGCGCCGGCCGGGGTCTGCCCACGGGGCTCATTGTTCAGGGTCTGGAGTGAAATTCGGAGGGTTTGGACCCCCTCAGAGAGCGCTCACTCTCCTCTTTTAGGTCCTCATCGGTGGGGAGGAAGGGGAGGGAACCAAACGGCGGATTTTTGAGACGCGAAATGAACAATTTAGTGGATTTTTTTCACCAAATTTGACGGATTTTTCCTCCTGCTGTAGAGACAAAAAAACCGCCTTTCTTCTCGTGGTTCCGAGTCCAGTTTGACCCGTCTGAACTCTGTGTTACTGGACTCTTTTCTGGTCCAAAGAAGTCGATTCACGATGTCAACGAGGAAAGGAAACAGTGAGGAAACGGTGACGACCTCCACCACCTCCACCAACATCCACCAGACCCAGCCGAGGAGTCCCGGCAGCGGCGGGGTCCCGGCGGCAGAGGCGGCCGTCGGAGGGTCGGACATGTTCGGCGAGTTTCAGGACTGGTGCCTGCGGACGTACGGGGACTCGGGCAAGACCAAGACGGTGACCCGGCGCAAATACAACAAGATCCTGCAGACCCTGCTCCAGGGGGACGAGGAGAACAGCAACGGGGTCTTCCTGCACGAGAAGGGCAGCAACCACATCAACGCCAAATTCAAGTTCTGGGTCAAGTCTAAGGGCTTCCAGGTCGGAACCATACAGGACGCCAAGAACGGATCCGGGGACAGACCGGTGCTGTATGTCCCCATCAAGGCGACGGTTAGTGCATCTTCCTCTTTCACTGTGTGTGTCTGTGTGTGTCTGTGTGTGTGTGTGCCAGTGTCACTGCGAGGCTACCCTTATTTGCCTAAAGAAATGAGGTGTGTGTGTCAGTGTGTGTGTGTGTGTGTGTGTTTAGCCTGAAGCTGTACTCCAGAACTTTACCTGGCTCGGTGCCACAGCCTCAGTAAACACCTGTTTCTCACTCAGACCTGCAGTCTGTAGGGGAGAGCGGGGTCAGCTGAGCCAAAGGGTCAAAGAAACTGATCATGTGACCAAATATTTAGGAGATGGGCATCAATTCATGGAGTCTGTGAAGGTTAGAAGCTCATGGGTGAAGAAGTTAGACATTTATTTACAAAAAAGACATTTTTCATTCTTGAAAGTGAATTTAGTCTGTTCAAAGTTTGATTAGAATTGATTTCAGACCAAAAAAGATCAATTTTAAAAGAAATATGTCGTCGTCATCGTTGTTTTCTCCCAGGCCAGGCGAGAGATATAATCCCTCCACATGGTCCTGGGCTGACCACCAGGTCTCCTCCCGGTGGGACATGTCTGGAACACCTCTAACGGGAGGCGTCCAGAAGGCGTCCTAACACCTCAGCTGACTCCTCTGGACGTGGAGGAGCAGCGGTTCTCCTCTGAGCTCCTCCCGAGTGTCCGAGCTCCTTACCCTATCTCTAAGGCTGAGCCCGGACACCCTGAGGAGGAAACCCATTTCAGCCGCTTGTATCTGCGATCTTGTTCTTTCGGTCATTACCCAAAGTTCATGACCATAGGTGAGGATCGGTACGTAGATCGACCGGTAAATCCAGAGTCTCTCCTTACGGCTCAGCTCTTTCTTCACCACCACTGATCGGTGAAGTGTTCCCGTGTTTTCCCATTATTTGTATTAGTACACCAAAAACGGCTCATCTTACCCCCCTCTCTCCTATCTGTCCGTCCTGGAGCACCAACACAAAGACTAACATGACAGAATTACTCTTCATGTGGATCAGCAGGTGAACAGACACCAGAACAGTTCCTCCTCTGATCCGTTTTCTGGTGTTTCATCGTCATGATTTCTAACAGCTACTGACTCTTTACATACCAGGACCTGAAACTCTACAAGTGACTGAGTTTGTTGCTTCTGTTATGACAACTGTGAAATAAGAATGTGACAGTGACAGTTATTAGTCATCGAGGGAAAACGTCCAACTGTAGTGAAGCAGAGGAAGTCGCTGTTTGAGAGCGCTGAGGGCCTGTTGTTG